TGCGCCAGATTGTGCAGACCGCTTCGTTGTCACAGTGACCTAATAGTCGACGACTGCATAGTCGTTTGCCTAGCGTCACGCAGATAAGGGCGATGGGAAACAATTCGCGCCATTCTATGGACAGATCCTTGTGGAGTGCCTCCCATTGGCCGTACACCCATTCTTTGCCACAGAACAAGCCATAGCCACAGTCAGAGGCATCCGTGAACAGCTGCATCTCGGTGGGTTTGCACCAGGATGGGTCTAGCAGTAGTGATCGGCCGTTCCAGCCAGGATATATCGTTTAGAGCCTCTTGGTTCAGGCGCTGGGTACTGTCAAGGGACGTGAACTGGCTGGCCTCGTCGAAGAGCCGGCGGCAGTAAGTGCGCATGGGCGGTACTACTTTGGCGTCAAATGACAAAGAGCTTGCCAACGAGAACAATTCCCGTTTGGTGCACTGTACTCGGTGTACCCAGGAGTCAAGGGTGCTCTTTAGTTCCAACAGCTTTGGGGCTGGCAGCCGCATCTCCCATGCTTGGGAATATAACTCTATGCCCAAAAAATGTGATAATTGTAGACGGTGGGCACACCGTGTCAGGGCCCTTGGCTAACGGAACTTGCACGTGCTCCATGACTGCGAGTAACGTGTGAAACTGCCGACGGGCATACTTTGGCGGCTGTGGGGGTTGAACTGTGAGGAAATCATCGAGGTAGTGGAGCAGGTCATGCACATTGAATCTATTCGTGGCTACCCAGCAAAGGGCGTCGGCGAAGCTGTTGAACAGAAATGTTGAGGACCGAAGGCCAAGGGGTAGGAATTTGTCAACGTAGAATGCGTTGTCCCAGTGAATGCCCAGCAAGGGCCAGTCGGACGGGGCCAAGGGGCATAGTCGGAATAGTCATATAGTGCAGAGAAAATTCGTCTTGGCTTATACCGTCATTAATGCTAGTGCCCTGAGGCGCAGATAAATGCAAAATTAAGCGGAGTTTACCCGACTTCTTGGGGACCACGCCTACACCAGAGCAGCGCAGATGTGTGTGAGGTAAGTGGGTGTACGACCCTCGATGCATTCATTAGACAGGTAAGTAGAGACAGCTTGGGGGTTCTTAAATGCAGAGACTAAATTGGGAGCAACAAAATGAGAGCGATCACCGGAGTAACCGATTACAGCACCGTCACGCATGTCATGCACAAGAGAGTTAACGAATGCGGGTACAGGGTGCTTGGCCAGGGCCGACTCAAGCCGATCCAAGTGAACGGGCGTCCAGGGCGATTGTTGGTGCAACGGAACGCGTGCTGGCCGGTTGCCCTGTGCGACAATCTCGTGCGCTGTGTCCAGAGACATTGCAGGTGCTGCATTGATGAACGTACGGACAGGGGTTTCGGCGACACACGCCCCGGTTGTAGAGGCGACACTGGTCGGTGGACGAGCGGGCTGCCGCGGAGCTGGACCGAAAGGGCCCGGCACGGGCATTGAACACGGTAGTGGACAGTGTTTGTGGTGTTGTGTCCCAACGGCGTGACGGCTGGGACGTGATGGCGGAAGGCGCGTTCATACTCCGCAACTGCGGAAAACGTGAATTTCTTGCTGGAGTTCAGAATATGGTGCTGATACGCCAACAGTTCTACTGCTCTGCCCGGATGCGCATCCAGATAGACGGCTGCGAATATCGTACACGCTTCTAGCCAATGTTCGATGTCCGAAATGCGTCGGGACATGCGTGGCTGGGAGGACAGCATAAATTTTCCGGGTGCCTCCTCGCCCAACACTAGAGCGTGGGGGCTTGGCACGTCCGTGGCGGTCGGGGGCAACAGTTGTTGTAAATCAACAAATTGGTGTGTGATGATTTTGTCGATCACGGTCTGGGGTGCGCTTGCCCACATTTTTACTGGCCCGTCGTCACGCAGCATGGTGCAGGAAACACTAGACGAATGCACAGTGGACGTACCTGGGGCTGAGGTTGCTGTTTGTGTTGCATCTTCCAAATGGTCCAGTCGGTCCATAAACGGTGTCAGGGCAGTCGCGATTGCCACGGACACGGAGGTGACAGGCATAGTTACTTTCGGACACGGAGGCGACAGGCATAGTAGGTTCGCGGGGCTCCCTGTCCTCGACAGTTTGTCGGGCAGCCTCGGCGGGGGTCACAGAGGACGCGTGGGGTCCGACTTCGGATTGTATCAACCGGGCAAGCAGCTCCGCTTTCTTGCCGGCGGGACTAAGTCCCCGTTCCACGAGGTTGAGGCGTAGGTTCCCGCACAGTGAGTTTACTGAACGCAGGGGAGGCCATAGTCTCGAATGGATAACGCTGGAGGTACAGGAAAACGACACTTTTGAAAATTTGGCAAAGAGCTAGTGTTGGAGCAAACAGCAAGTGAGAGTGGTAAGCAACAACAGGAACAAAGAAGACGAGTGCATGCACATATGGAGTCAGATCCGCTGGTAGGTTTAGATGCCGACAGAGCTAGAGGGGAACACGCTCCCTCGTGGCGCGAACCGTGCCCGTGTCACGTGCACAGCGGTGTGCGTGGGCAACGACAGCGCTAAGGGTAGATGTGGAATGCAGTGTGAAGTAGCGGCATCGCTACGGGTAAATATGGAGTGCTATGTGCAGTAAATGCAGGCGGGCACGCGCTGAGAGAACGTTACATGCGTGTTAACTACAGTTAATACTACATATAAACTGAGATTTTAATATACACAAACCCAACTCGTAAAATAAATAATTATGTGGACAAAAACAAACAGCTACTGAGCAGGGGCTGCACTGGGCAGAAGTGATGGTGAGGTACCAGGGGCTCCGCCGACCAAAGGTCTCGGCTTTAATGTCACACTGTACTGTGGTATGTAATGGCTGCTGTGGATCTGGCACACCTTGAGAAAATGCTGTCACAATGAATGTAACAAAAAGGCTATTGTGTGCCGTAAAGGACTGTCCAAGCTGTTTTAAGGTATCTCTATTATTGGGGAAAGTCTAGATTTGCTGTTGACTGATCCGACTGAGCCAGTCTTACTCTACATAAGAAAAGACGGTGGTTCAGTTCAGTACACGAAACTGATCATTAACACCTGCTCCCTGAACACCCCCCCCCCCCATTAATTTAATCCAATCGTCGTATGCTTGCAACTGAATGATGATAATAAAATGAGTGATAAAAGAGGTGGTTTGTCAACTGACAACGCACTATCCAGTTGCTATTCATGATTCTCTCTGCTGCATTGGATATTCATCAACTGTAGATGTACTTAATCTGTGGACAGAACTGTTTCGTCCTTTGCGGGCTCATCAGCTCAGTACAGAGGTAATGAGGCCAAACCTTATAGCAATGAAAATAAAATTTCCAAAGCCAGATGTAATTGTAGATGTGAAAAATATGATGTTTCGGGCCAGTCACCCATCAACAGAATAATTTACAAGGGGGTGGGTGACTGTCTCGAAACGTCATAACCTTTACATCAACCATAAAAGAATTTTCATTTGCAGCGCATGCGTAGATCGTGAATAGCAACTGAATAGAGGGATTATCAGTTGAAAAAACTCTTTTTTCTATGATGCTGTTGCTTGATAACCATAAAATTCTTTTTAGACTTCATTGAAATGAAGTCTAGAGTCAAAGGGACCAGTAAGCTACGAGTCATGATTAACAGTCCACCAAGGTGACGAGACATTATACAGTCTGATAGTGCGACAATAGGCAGGCGCAGTGGTTTGGTCAAAGACCAACGTTGAGATACAAGAGGTACCTTGTTGTGCCTGGGAGCGGTTTTCCAGCCGTGCTGCTACCCACTGTGGACCACAGTTAAGTGGGAACTTGTGACCAGCCGCTAGTGTTTAACAGTTTGTTAGCGGCTGTGTGAGTTCTCTTTGGGAACGGACACGATAATTTACTCATTTTAGTGCAACAACAAGGGACAACACTGACAAGGACATTGAAACATTCAACCACCTAACACTTAGCTTTTACACATCTACCAAGCGCAAACCAACAACCTTCTAACTTGGAAGGCCCAGATGGGGAGAGTTCCAAGAAGGGAAATTCTGCCTCCCATTTCTCTTTGCTTAAATACGACTGTATTGGCTGAACATCCGAGTTTTAAGAAGTCTAGTGTGAGAATGATTTTATACCCGCATGCATTCATCCACAATTTAATCAGTGTAGTGTGCAGCGCACGCATAGAGTGCAGCGCACTCATAGTGCGCAGTGCACGCGTAGAGTGCAGCGCACGCGTGGAGTGCAGCGCACACGTGGAGTGCAGAGTACTCGTAGTGTGCAGCGCACTCATGGAGTGCAGCGCACTCGTAGTGTGCAGCGCACGCGTAGTGTGCAGCTCATGTGTAGTGTGCAGCGCACGCTTAGAGTGCGGCGCTCTAGCAGTGTACAGCGCACTCGTAGAGTGCGTAGAGTGCGCGTAGAGTGCAGCGCACGCGTAGAGTGCAGCGCACGCGTAGAGTGCAGCGCACTCATAGTGCGCAGCGCACGCGTAGAGTGCAGCGCACTCGTAGTGTGCAGCGCACGCGTGGAGTGCAGCGCACACGTGGAGTGCAGCGCACTCGTAGTGTGCAGCGCGTGCGCGTGGAGTGCAGCGCACTCGTAGTGTGCAGCTCCACGCAGAGTGCAGGGCATGTGTAGAGTGCAGCGCACTAGTAGTGTGCAGCGCACACGTAGTGTGTAGCGCACGCCTAGGGAATTTTACAGAAGACATGTGCGTACATGTACATGGCTGTCTCAACGTTCGTGGACTGCAGGCTTCAAGATAATGTTGGAACCAACGACCAGGGGAATCTCTAGATTTACTCACAACCCCATCCCCCCCCCCCCCCCCCCCCTCTTCCCCCGGATATCGAGAAGTTCCAACACAGGAAAATGACGAGGTCCAGGTGGCAAGGCAAAGGAAGTTGAACACTATGAAGCTCTAATAATTCTTGGGGACTAGTGCCACGACAATACAACATTGACGTCATTTCGTATTTATCCTCTTTTAACCTACACTGTAGTTCTAACAATTCAACACACACGTACCTGCGGCAATGAGGACAAGAACTGAACAACACCCTGGACGAATTCGTGAATCTCCTCTGCATCTGGTCGACGGGCCGGTGGGTCAGCAAGACAGCGTCTCAGCAGGTCCTTCAGCGGGTGGCCGTCAGGGATGCGAGCAAACTCCGCGCGTCGCCGCTCCAGCTCGGGTATAGCGACGTGGCTGCCGTCAGCTGCCTGGCGCGATCTTGGTGCGAACATGAGCTCAATGGAGGGCATCACACCGCTCAGCACGCTCATTGCCGTCACTCCGAACGAAAAGACGTCAAGCGAAAGATCGTACCTTGCTCGGCCAGATTCCGTCTCTTGCAACGCCTCTGGCGGCATGAATAACGGTGTACCAGGCTGTCGGGTCATGGACTGAGCGGCTTCACGGAACTGATCGGCAACGCTAGGCAGTAGCTTGGAGACGCCGAAATCCGTGATTTTGGCCACACTATTGGCAACGAGGACATTGCTTGGCTTCAAGTCGCGATGCACCATCGGGATGGAGTGCAAGTAGCGAAGGCCTGCAGCAGTGTGTTCGATGTAGCGCATCAGCTGAAGCAAGTCCTGTCTGCGTGCACCAACGCTCATTGTTTCCAGTGTGTCGGACATCAATTCCACCACAATGGCTGGAGTTGTTCCGACCATGCCCACGCCGAAAATGGGACACAGATGTGGGTGGCGAAGACGTGCCATGCGTGCAATCTCTGCTCCAAAATCATGCAGTACGACGTCGCGTCCTTGGTTTCTTCGATCAATCAGGATAGAATGAAGTGCCTTTGCGGCCACCTTCAATCCACACCATTTGGACTTGTACACCACAGCAAATGAGCCTCGACCCAACTCATCCTCTGTTTCATTCACGTCCAATGTACCCAGATAGGGCACTTCAGCCTGGTTCAAGCCCAAAGCGGTGAACACCGCATTCTCCTCAGCGGCCATTCCAGCAACTCGCGTACCGCCGACCACTGGCACTATAGAATAATTGTAAGCGACCAGGGACAAAGACTTGAAAGAGATGAAAACAAAGTAATGGACGAAGGACGATCGATCGTGAAGTGCGACACCTACTACTAGTACTAGTAGATCTACGTCTAAGCCAGGGAATCGTAAAGGGATTTTACGCCTGGTCAACACCGTTGCTGAAGTACTAGCCGACGACAGACAGATAAAATTATTAATTATGACTCATTCATATTGACTTTGTTTTCCATGGACCATAGTTTAGTGATCCTGTTACTGTAGATCACTACATGTAGTGTAGATCACTCATGAGTCACGTCATGATCAGGGAGTCGTGTAGATCCCACTACTAATACCAGAATACTGTCTGTAGTCGTGTAGATCTACACAATCATGAAATAGTGGATCTACGGATCTCACGGCTTTACGTGAATTTGCCATCACTGAACTAAGTCAAAGTATCACTGCCTTGCCGTCAGGCCGTCACCAACAGCGATGGTTCGACTCCCCTTCGCCTTTGCCATGCAAGTCGCGTTGTAGACAGCGGAAATGAGACAGCTGACCTCTAACTCTAAGGCCGGGGTCACACCGAGCCCGATTCAGCCTTTCAGCCAAAAAAAGCCCTTTTGTTTGGCTGAGGTTTCCACGGAAACGGCTGAAAATCGGGGCACCAGCCACTTTCAGCTTTCAGCCCTTTTGCGAAGTTTTGGAAGCGCTGAAAAGCTGAAAGTGGCTGAATAATTTTGGCTGAAGTGCAAGAGTGCAAGAGGAGTTGAAGAACTTGAGTTGACGTTTGTTGTAGTCAGGTAGTTTCTTCTTCTCTTGTATTGTAGTTGTGTGAAGTGTTTTTTTAAAGGTTTTCGTTGTCAGCCATGGATAGTTGGAGCATGGTAATGGAGCGCCATTGCTCGAGCTGCGGTACGAAGCAAAAACGCGATATCAGACGACAATGAAAAAGGATTCGAGCAAACGAGCCTGGATCTTCGCAAAAGTTTGCTGCGAATGAAGCCGGTGCCGGGGGCGATACTGCTCGTTCTCCCAGTCAGAGACATCCCACTCAATACATGTGCCCATGGCCCAGTGCTGGATAACGTCATCGTTCCAGGCACCGGGACTGCGAAGGGCGCACCAAAAACGCCGTTTTCTCCTGCCAAACATTGTCAAGGGCAAGATTGCCAGCAGATCCTCCTCAGTATCGTCTTCATCAACAAAGTCGTAAACGTCTCGCTTCCTCCGGCGACAAAGCCTGGTATTTGTCACCATCGGCAAAGTGAGGTGATTCTCAGGGGAAATTATTCGGATCATCACCATTAAAAAATATAAATTGTGTACTCATAACAACAGCAAAAATGAAGAAAGTCAAGTTCCATAACGTTTTCTTGTGACTGTCATCAGTGGAACGCCGTCACATAAAAATGTAATAACTAAAACACACACTTATAATTACATGTAGCTAATATGGTTTCAGGTAGAAATACAGCAGCCAGCAAGTACAAAAAGCGAAGTTTGCACCTTTGCAAATGTGTGAATATAGTGTATGTGAGAAAGGTAGTGGCAGATGAATGTGATACTGTGTGAATGAATGTAATGGTGCGTGTGAGTGATTAAACGTTTTCTTTGCAAAGTTGCAAACTTCGCTTTTTGTACTTGCTGGCTGCTGTATTTCTACCTGAAACCATGTTAGCTACATGGATATAAGTGTGTGTTTTAGTTATTACATTTTTATGTGACGGCGTTCCACTGATGACAGTCACAAGAAAACGTTATGGAACTTGACTTTCTTCATTTTTTGCTGTTGTTATGAGTGCACAATTTATCTAATTTATTGCCATTTTACGACTATTGTCTCCTCGTCGATTGTTTAAATCATCACCATTGTACATAATAAAATACAGATAGCGATGCGGCTCTTCGTTTCCGAATCCATTCTCAATCCACTGTGATAAATCGCTCTTCTCTCTCTCTACTCCTCTCTCTTTCTAGCTCTTTTCCAGATCCCTACTTCTCCTTCCATCCACGACGGGGCCCAAGTGGGCACAGGGGTCACAGGGGTCATCCTCCAAAATAAAGAGTGGTGAGACCGCGGCCTAAACACGAGCTACAGCCATGGTCAAGGGCGTGAACAGGCTAGCCACCCAGTGCAGTGCAGCAAGTTCACGGTCTGTCATGGTGAAAAGCGGTTGGAGGCCCTCTCAACCACGTGCTAGCACTAAAAATAATTAGCCGACTTTTCTGCCAAATATCGACCAGTCGATACTTGTACTTGGCTGACCATTCGTACAAGAAACTCGGCCCAGATTTGTCGAAAACTTGCACTCCAACACAGTCCACAGTATTGCATGCAGGCAATTATTATCGCCCCGATCTTGAGCCGTTGAGGATTTCCCACGCGGCCGAAAAATCTGTCTGGCGTGGACCAGACGTGCAGACATCAGACCAGGCATCTGAACCGGGAAACTGAACGCACCATTGCTAGCAGTAGCACAATATCGGTGCAGACCAGCGAGTCGTATATACCCGGGTTACCCCGGTGTACGACTCCCTGGTGCAGACCAGGGGGTCGTAAAAGCACTTGACGACGGGCAGTGGATCCAGTTCCATCAACTGTTCTTTGTCTACTACAGACAGTACACACAGTACAGGACTTGTTTTTCGTGTACTCTGACAAGAAAATGTCACGTTCATAAAAATCTTGGAGTTCGTTCTTAGATCCAGGCTGGGGCGTTCTTAGATTTCCAGCCTGGACGTTCTTGGGCGCCACGTTCTTGGGCGCCACGTTCTTGGGCGTACTATGAGTCCATTGTAGTGTAGACTAGTGTAGTACTAGTATTACTACTACATTTTATCACTCCCTTAGTATTGACTCACATAGATTTTTGCCATACCTAGGCAGTCAAATATTCCTGCATATTTCACTCCTTAGGGCTGTATTGACTGCTTATATTTGACTGCTTAGGGGTCGCGCAGTTGAACGGACCGGTACGCGGTGCCTACTGCAGCATTGTCACGGCATGAGTAGGTGGTGGTTCAACGGTTGTGCAATCATAAAACCGGGATTCACGAGGTTATCGTTTTGGAATTTGAAATACGGACTGTTTGTCGTGATAAATCTAATATTGACTTCGTACTTGGTCAGTATAGGAAATAAAAACCTCGTAAAAGACCTCGGCTTCGCCTCGGTCTTTTACTCGGCTTTTATTTCCTATATTGACCTCGTACTCAGTCAATATTAGATACGTATTACATTTGTAGTAGTACTGCAGTATACCAGGTATACCGGCGGTACCGGTAGTACAAGCGAAATCGCTCACCGCTGCTTGTGAACAGTTACCATTGGAAACGTGTGTGTTTGTTGTGTGTTGACTACTACTAGTACTGAAGTACTAGTACTAGTACTAGTACTACTACTAGTACTAGTGTTGTGTGTTGACTACTATAGGTGTTGGCGGATAATGCTCGGTAATATGGGATATAATGCTCTCAGTAATGCTCCACAAAAGGCCATATAATGCTCCAAATAATGCTGATAATGCTCCGCCGGATGGAATATACACACCTTAACCTTGCGGTATTGGGCTAAGAAAAACGCTATAATATTGCACCCATGCTATGATAAACACATAATACAATATCAGGTAAACATGTACGCCAGTGTCTGCTCCAGCGCCGGGTGAGCCGGGTAATCCACCCGGTTGGGCGGCGCTTGGACCCGGTTGAAAATATAGTACCGGGTCACCTGTGATCCAGTTGGTACTTTACACTTTCGAACTTTGAAAGGACTGACACGGCTTGTATGTGTCAGATACTTCTTCTTCTTTCGTAATTTTCTAATTCCTGTCCTCTCTTTTCTAAATGCGGCTTATCCATTCGCCTTTATATCATTGGGCCTAGTTCCCGTTTATTGTCCGAATTAAAATAAACCACCCAACCAGTTAAAGCATGTGACTCGGCTGGTAAGACAGCGCCAGCAGGTACATGTGTACCCGGCTCTGACCCGGTTGAAATGGTTGCGCCAGGTACACGTGTACCCGGCTGTCCTATAATCCTAGAGCAGACACTGGTACGCAAGGTACAAACACATACAGTTATATTGAGGCGGCACAAAGAGGATACGCCAAGAAGGACTCCTTGACCAGCTTCTGCCTCTGAGTTTCCCTCTCCAAACGGGACTTTCCTTGTTTGTGTCTTGCGGTAGCAATATGGGACATGATTAGGTAAAGGTATAGTTTAGGGTCCCAAATTATTTTAGTGGATCAGCATGCTCTACAGAGTCCCAGGCATGCACATTACACATAGCCATAGGCCTTGGCCACAACTGACATCGAATACGATGTGGATAGACAACCACTGGTGTATGCAAAATCACCTTACGATGCGAACGAAGACGGCGCAAAGGACCATGAAAATCGCCTGAGTTTGAAGCTCGGTGATGCCGTGCGTGTCTTGAACACCTCCATGGGCAAGGGATGGTGGTGGGTAGAAGTCAAAATATTCGTCGTTCTGCCAGGAGGCTTCCTCCGCGCCGCGCAGGTCCTCCTCAGTGCCAAGGAATGATGATGGAACGTAGCCAGACTCGCCATCGACTTCTACCCACCACCATCCCTTGCCCATGGAGGTGTTCAAGACACGCACGGCATCACCGAGCTTCAAACTCAGGCGATTTTCATGGTCCTTTGCGCCGTCTTCGTTCGCATCGTAAGGTGATTTTGCATACACCAGTGGTTGTCCATCCACATCGTATTCGATGTCAGTTGTGGCCAAGGCCTATGGCTATGTGTAATGTGCATGCCTGGGACTCTGTAGAGCATGCTGACCCACTAAAATAATTTGGGACCCTAAACTATACCTTTACCCATGATTATACTCTTCTTCCCTGACAATGTTGTATGGCATGCCAGGCACACTAACTTGCCAGTCTCTTTTGAGCGGTTCATCTGGGAACTCCCGCACCCGTGTTTCGGCACTGATGGCCACTTCAGTGCTCTGTCCATGAGCTACTCGCGTCCTTTTGGAAACATTTTCAGACTTGGTAATAGCTGTTTTGAAGTGTTTTCTGAAAAGACCGCTTCCTCGCTATCGCGGCAGGATCTGCAGTTTCCAACTCGACGACGTCACTATCATCAGAGGACTCCGCCAAAAGCTCATCTGGAGAAAGCCCAGCTTCCTCCCAATCCCAAGAACGGCATCGCGGCGAGTCAGCCATCAGCGTTGGCTGCTAGTTAGCTGGTCTTACACAATGGTCAATGTCCGATGAAAGTCCAGCGTTACTCTTCGACAAAGACATGGACTCTTGCTTCCATGAAGAATGTTTTTTTGTATTAACAATACATTAATTTGTGGACTGTAACCGGGTAAGGTCTGGTGTGCGTGTGCGCACCTCCACCGTTCCATGCTGGCTCACATAAATTTTGTTTCGTTGGTTCGGCGTTGTTACCTGGATCTTCCAAAGTTGCTGGCCGAAGATAGACTTTCGGGACCGGAAGTAAGTTTCTCCGAGAGTTTCCACACTGTGCTGGACCACAGCTAGCTAGCGCTAGCACTACTGCGCCTGGCACTGCGTGCCACGATCTGTTTGGTACCATGCATGATGTGTACGGACCGGTCGGTACGCAGTGGTCTATCGCTTGTAAGTAAGTTGTAGTAATACATCGCGTAATAAATGTTGCCAATCAAAGACCAACGCTATAGCCGATACGAATCTGTACATGACGAATTGACGATGTGTGTAGATCTACTATGCAGTCATGTAGAAAGTCGTATAATGCCATTTTTGGCCTCGTAATGCTTTATGATGCTCGTAATGCTCCGGGTGGTGTATAATGCTCGATATAATGCCGGCATTATCCGCCAACACCTAGGGCATGTTCGATTGGTAAGGATCGAGATCGGGATCCAGATCTCAGATCCCTCGGATCCTTCAGATTCAACTGAACACTTTATTTTGGACCTTGACTGTTGCCATGTTGAAAATGGCGCTCACAAGGCACCCAAAAGGGTGAACGTCGTACTCATCGCGTGCGTCGTACAAAAAGTCAACAAGGTCTATCTCCATCCACGTGTGCGTACCACAATGTGTACAAAAAATGTTTTTTACCCGCCATATACGCACAAAGGTCACATTTGGATCCGTTGGATCCGGTCAACCCTGCTCCCCGAGGAGGGTTGACCGGATCCAAATCCGAAGGATCCGGATCCGGATTCGACCAATCGAAAGGGTGCGAATCCAGTGGATCCGGTGGATCGGGATCCCGATCCTACCAATCGAACATGCCCCTAGACTACTACTACATGTACTAGTAGTAGTACTAGTGTTGTGTGTTCGCTTGCACATGACTTGTACACATGTGTATGTTTCGGTGTGACCATGGGGACCAACTGATCAAGTAAGTACGTAACCCGCAATAGGGCTTGAAAGTGCTACGTCACAGCATAGCAACAATTTCAAAAATTCAAAAATTGGATCCACTTGGATCCAGTTTTTGTATGGATCCAAGCACATTTCAAGCCGTCTTACTCTCAGCAAGGTGATGTTACCAGTGAAACTGACTGATTTGGCTACTGGGGGCAGGGTTACAACTGGTGGCGAAGTAAAAGTCACACCTGCATACGACACGAGTGGGTTGCTATGCACCTACATACTGAGGCAATAGCAAAGTCACACCTTAGTGGATCCAAAATAGAAATCTGATGTCAACTTAGTACTCCCTGGCCGTTTTTGACGTCATCACTTTCAAGCCCTATACTTCAAGGCGTTAGTTAGTTGATGTGAGTGCATGATGTGACCGCTTGACAGTGACAGACACATCGCCATGCGCCACTATACAACGTAGATCTACAACTCGGCGCTAGGGTGCACGCGATGCTGTAGACTCCTGGTATACTGTGGTCTGTGTAGACTAGGCAGTACTAGTACTAGTACAGTAGTTGTAGTCGTCGCCAAAAAAATCCGGCCAATGCCAAGTATACGCGTATATTGACTTGAAGTTGAACTTGCTGCTGTTTACCTAAGTAGGTATACATTATTATGCTGTTTTTTTGCGTGTTTTTTCGCTTTTTTCTTTTCTTTCTAGAACTTTGAGTTGAAGTTTTTGGAACACTTGGGAAAAAATATTCATTGTGTTTATTTTGCCCGTAAAAGAGGCTGTAGTAGTATACGCGTACATAGGTATGGTAGGTAGATCTACGCACGCGGTACTTCATCGCGGGTTCATGCACTGGACTGGAGACTGGAGTGGCACATGCACTGGACTGGAGTGGCACATGTACTAGTAGTAGTAGTAGTCTAGACTCAACTACAATGACTATGTAGGCCACTGCCACTGGTATGGACAGCACTGAACAGTCTGCGCCGCACTCTGCCTGCTGCAGTCGGGTTGAGCACTGCGAGCGCCGAGCCTGAGTCTGAGTGAGTGTAGCGCGCGACGGTTTCAAATAGTATTAGTAGGACATACCGGTAGGTTGCAAACCGGAACGGACTCCATATTCACTTTCTCTCTTAGTATGTTGATTAGAAAACATATGTCACAGTGAGACTACGATGTGTTATAACTAACTTATACTCCGAGCCAAAATTTCATGGCTCTGCGATGAACAGAAGCGCCACACCAAGCAGGTGAGTTTTTGACGTGTTGAGTTTGACGACTTTCGAAAAATCAACTTCTTGTCGCAGGTAAACAGCGGTTCGCCTCTCGCCAATAAAGCACCGCATACCAATCGAAACTAATGGAGAAGCACACACAAGGCTTATTGTTATTCTGTACTGGCCGTCGTGGAGCGATAGCAATCAAGTTACCTAATTTCAGACTAAGAGTGAATTATTTGACGTGCACTCTAAAACCTTTCCGGTTTGGAGCCACCTCTGATTTGAAGCGAAAAATTGGGCAACTTGGAGGCAATGGGTCAACACAAAGGAGTGGCTCAGTTCGATTGACTCTGGCCTCAGATCAAACTTCAACATGCCAGTTTCCTTCCACAAACATATTTCGAGTGAACAATCAACGCTGATGATAGGTTTGAATGGTTTCGGCTTATACAAATTTGGCTGACCTGTCAAGCCGTTCCGTGCACTGCACGTATCGAACCGTCGCCTCTACAATCCCCATGTCATGGTGACTGGTGTATGCGGGCCTAACCTGTCAGCATGTGAACAGTGAAGTAACTGCAGTACATCATGCACTGATGCAGACCCGGTCTACCAAGTACCAGTACCACCACCAAGTATGATACAGTGCATGCGGCCCAGTACAGCTACCGGTAGCTAGCATTGCATTTGGCCGGATTTTTTTGGCGACGACTGTACTAGTACTACACTTTGTAGTGTTGTGTGTTGACTACTACTACTACTAGTACTAGTGTTGTGTGTTCGCTTGCACATGACTTGTACACATGTGTATGTTTCGGTGTGACCATGGGGACCAACTGATCAAGTAAGTACGTAACCCGCAATACTTCAAGGCGTAAGGCTGCAACCACACTAGGTACAAAACTGCGTAAACGCAACTTTTCTGCTTATGTCGTCAAGGAAACGCGTACGAAACGCAAAACGTACTGCGTTTCGTTTCAGCAAACCGGGTACCCCTGTAGAAAGCAACTTTTCGCCTTTTCCTTGCGTTTCGCTCGCGGGTTCTTCATACGGGTAGATGTTTCTTGTTGAGGCTTGCACTGTGTCGGTAGTAGACGGCTTCCTTGTCAGTGCAGCTTGTAGTATTTGAGATTTCATCTGCCAGGGCTTTGCTTTCAGTATAAATTCCGGACAGTCCCATTGCCAGCTGTTGTTAGTTCGAGATGCCGCGCAACTACATTGTATTTCGCTGATAATCTCGAATCGAATTGAGAAGCTCATGCAGCTTGGGGCAGCGTACCAGAAGACGAAGCAGGGCCAGATGACAGCCTGGAGCGAACCATCCAAGAGAAGAAGATGACCGAGGCCTTGAACGTGCATGTCAAGGCGCTCGCGACTCTTTTTCAAACTACTACTACATGTAGTACATACATTTTCCTAGCGCGATTTTTTCTGGGACCCAGAAATGTAGACAAAACGCAAGGATTCCTTGCGCATGAAATGGCAGTGTGGATGCGACTTTGCGTTATCTAAAAGCTGAACGCAAACGCGTACTTGATTTTGTACGTAGTGTGGTTGCAGCCTTAGTTAGTTGATGTGAGTGCATGGTGTGACCGCTTGACAGTGACCATGGTGACAGACACATCGCCATGCGCCACTATAAGTACATGTATAACGTACAACTCGGCGCTAGGGTGCACGCGATGCTGTAGACTCCTGGTACTAGTAAGTAGTATACTGTGGTCTGTGTAGACTACTGACTAGGCAGTACTAGTACTAGTACTAGTAGTAGTAGGCTAGACTAGCCAGCGCCCAGCGGTCATGTATGATGACTGTAGTCTAATCGTGGAGTGGTGCGTTGAGGCCAAACATTTTGAATCTGCTTGGTGACAGAACTACAGCAATCATGCCCGTGCCATGGTCATAATCGAATGTTTGAAAGACGGTGAAGAGAACAAGTATTAGTTGCCTCGGTGTCCTAATCATTGAGACATTTGCTCCGGGAATATTCAGAGTTTCTATAGAACACTCAGTGGTACATGGTGTTCATATCGCTCAGGCCAGGTTCCAGTGTGGCAATCCTTGCGCTCAGGCCAGGTTCCAGTGTGGCAATCCTTGCGCTCAGGCCAGGTTCGACTGTGGCAATCCTTGCGCTCAGGCCAGGTTCCAGTGTGGCAATCCTTGCGCTCAGGCCAGGTTCCAGTGTGGCAATCCTTGCGCTCAGGCCAGGTTCGAGTGTGGCAGTCCTTGGGCTGTTTGTTGTAGTTTTCAAGCTAACGCCAGCAACGGAAAACCCATGAGTGGATAGTTTGCAGTCGACTACTGACTACTGGTCTGTACTGCAGGTCGTCTTCGGGTGTGGTCACGTGTGGGTGTAGTGGATTGGTGGACGGGTACCGGGTAGTGATTGCTTCCCAATCTACCAGGCAGCACCTGCTGCTGCTGCTGCTAGCGCTGCTGCTGTAATTCCTGTTATCTGCTACTCAGAGCTTGGAACGTAGCTGTGTCACTGTGTATCGTGAGTAGTTACACTCCACACCTGACCATTGCACATTCTTGCCGACGCTTTGTTCCAGTCGTCAGCAGTTCACCGTGTAATATGGAAGGTGAACGCTTCGCTTTCCTCGTGGAGTGGTATGATTCGCTAGCGGTCATAGTGCGACGCTACAACTTCCTCTTCTATCCTAAAGATAACAGCGTGGAAATGGTGAGTTGCTCACTTGGTGGCACAATCGAGTGTACATGTACATAACCTCGGTACTCTGTGACTCTTGGTTATACAAATGCATGCTGTCTTGTCCCATGTTGTAAGGGGCCGTCCGTATTTTTATCGAACTTTTTTCACCAAACGAATTATTTTAGTTTAGACCCAACCCCTCCCTCCCTCCCCCTCAGAACGTAAAAAAATGTTGACATACATGCATATACAACGGCCATGTACATGGATCAATGTTTACTGAAACGAAATTGGTCAACCCCCTCCCACTCCATAACGAAAATTATTTCGTTTTGTGAAAAAAGTTCGATATTTATGGGCGACCCCTAATAGCACGGTGATGTTCTTGAGCATACCATTGAAGAGCATCATGTTTCCTCGAACCCAGACATGCTCAGAATGTACTATATCCATACAAGTGAGCATGGATCTAACACCAACCCGCGCATGACATACACTCCCGAGCACGCGCCCGCCCGCGCGCGCTTGCACACACACACACAAAAAACACATCAACACAAACACATGCACACAATAAAAACCTGGGTGTCGAGCCACTAGTAATAAATATGTCAAGAGAGAATGGACCATAACTAGTAACGTACAGGTCCTTTGCCCGTTACACACAGAACACAGCCTTAGTAATACCCATCACCACTCTCATCCCCCCACCCTTACACACAGAACACAGCCTTAGTAATACCCATCACCACTCTCATCCCCCCACCCTTACACACAGAACACAGCCTTAGTAATACCCATCACCACTCTCATCCCCCCACCCTTACACACAGAACACAGCCTTAGTAATACCCATCACCACTCTCATCCCCCCACCCTTACACACAGAACACAGCCTTTAAAGGGGAAGTCCGGTGAAAAATTTAAATTTCACAGTCCGTAGAGTTCGAGTCGCTGAGTCGAATGGTCTTTGTCCGAGGAGGCTGCGGCTTATGGTTCGTCAGATACGCCCAATCGAACATGTGCGAATTTGAGCGCGCATCACCCAGATCCAGGTGATGACGTCACAGCGTGCAGCCAGGTAGCCACACCATCTAGTTGTGTACAAAAATGGCCATATTCGGAGCGCGTTCGATTGGGGAACTGTTTGTCGCAGCTTCTTCGGACCAAGACCATTCGATTCAGTGTTACAAACACTACATACCCTGTGATTTTCAGCTCGGTAAACCTCGAGGTTATACCATATTTTAGCCGTTTCCGATTTGGACTTTTTCCGTCAGCCTCTACGCGCTGTGCGCTGCGTGCATGCAGTGCGTGCAGTGTGTTATCTAGCTGTGGTGCAGTCAACAAACTCATCACAGACAGAACTACTCCCGCACTGCCGTGCTGGGGTAGTATCTACAACAAGACTCGAGTCACAACTGACACAAGACTCAGAAAACTAGTCAACACACGGACTTGTCATGTACATGTACTAGTACTACACTCGTATCAGTCGTATTGTACAGTCATGTACTGTAGTCAGAGAACGTGCGTTTCTCCTTGCCGGTGCCGGTGATTGTGCTTTGAGAAAGAAAATTTTAGTTTTCCGCTCCTGCCTCATCATTTTATGCTACAGCGATGAGTGCACAACCGTGACAAGTGACAAAACAGGGAACAGCTCCCGGACCTAGAACTGTCAGATTCCATAGCGTTGCGAGCGAAGAGTCGTGCCCGTGGTTCAAAGAGCCTGCACTGTTCTCCAAATGAGTAGTCCGAAATATTCCAAGTTCGCACCAAAACATCACCATGTGGCAGGCCACTGGAGTCTAAGCGAATCTAACCGGTATGGAACAACATTTAGAGCACTCGCATCACTCTTCTCCATTTTGGCGACCCTGCTCTCCAGCGATCTGATAATTCATCAGCCTCGTCTGCAATAGCTGCTGCTTCTTCATCAGTCGGAAACTCAGTAACGCTCACTCTTGACGGGCCCGCGCGGCCATTTCTTCAGCTGAATACCGAGGTTCTCAGCCCCAGACCGAACTCATGAAGGTCAGCCATGGCCGCATCCTCACTCTCACAAGGAGTTACAGGTCTTCGGGGTCGCTTGCACCACCTAATATCAGTCGCCAAATCATTTGAAATAGCACTGACACTATTGCTTTCACGCACTCCTTTTGACCTAGCTGCACGCTATGACGTTGCAGAGGGTGTGGCGCGGCCGCATGACGTCATGGCGCAGCCCCCGAAACTCAGTTTTTCAAACGGAAATATCTCGAGAACGCTTTGTCGGAGACACGTGGGACCAACACCATTCGACTCAGCGCCCGAAACTCTACCAACCCTGAAATTTAAATTTTTCACCGGACTTCCCCTTTAATAGTAATACCCATCACCATTTTCATCCCCCCACCCTTACACACAGAACACAGCCTTAGTACTACCCATCACCACTCTCATCCCCCCACCTCTACACACAGAACACAGCCTTAGTAATACCCATCACCACTCTCATCCCCCCCCCCCCCACCCTTAAACACAGAACACAGCCTTAGTAATACCCATCACCACTCTCATCCCCCCACCCTTACACACAGAACACAGCCATAGTAATACCCATCACCACTCTCATCCCCCCACCCTTACACACAGAACACAGCCTTAGTAATACCCATCACCACTCTCATCCCCCCACCCTTACACACAGAACACAGCCTTAGTAATACCCATCACCACTGTCATCCCCCCACCCTTACACACAGAACACAGCCTTAGTAATACCCATCACCACTCTCATCCCCCCACCCTTACACACAGAACACAGCCTTAGTAATACCCATCACCACTCTCATCCCCCCACCCTTACACACAGAACACAGCCTTAGTAATACCCATCACCACTCTCATCCCCCCACCCTTACACACAGAACACAGCCTTAGTAATACCCATCACCACTCTCATCCCCCCACCCTTACACACAGAACACAGCCTTAGTAATACCCATCACCACTCTCATGCCCCCACCCTTACACACAGAACACAGCCTTAGAAATACCCATCAGGCGCGTGCTCGGCGATGGGCACGGGGGGCACGTGCACCCCCCAAAAATTTTCAATCTGGGTAATTGAAATGTAAGGTATGCAAATATGCTCTAAAATTCAAGAAAGGTTGCAAACAAATTGCAGAAAAATGCCGGGGGGGGGCTCCCCTCGGCTCCCGTGCACCCCCCTAGTTGGGGGGGGCCGAGCACGCCCCTGCCCATCACCACTCTCATCCCCCCACCTTTACACACAAAACACAGCCTTAGTAATACCCATCACCACTCTCATCCCCCCACCCTTACACACAGAACACAGCCTTAGTAATACCCATCACCACTCTCATCCCCCCACCCTTACACACAGAACACAGCCTTAGTAATACCCATCACCACTCTCATCCCCCCACCCTTACACACAGAACACAGCCTTAGTAATACCCATCACCACTCTCATCCCCCCACCCTTACACACAGAACACAGCCTTAGTAATACCCATCACCACTCTCATCCCCCCACCCTTACACACAGAACACAGCCTTAGTAATACCCATCACCACTCTCATCCCCCCACCCTTACACACAGAACACAGCCTTAGTAATACCCATCACCACTCTCATCCCCCCACCCTTACACACAGAACACAGCCTTAGTAATACCCATCACCACTCTCATCCCCCCACCCTTACACACAGAACACAGCCTTAGTAATACCCATCACCACTCTCATCCCCCCGTCCTTACACACAGAACACAGCCTTAGTAATACCCAT